TAAAGTTATTCAAACAATAATTCTGAACAACAGTTGGGTGTCGATTGTCACTACAGTGTTCTTCTCCCATTTCCTGGGAATGGGGGAATGAGGTTGATTAGTGTTGTATTATTCCCAACACTTACCAGGAACCGTCCGGATCCCAGCACGATGCAACTTTATTAATATTGCAAAGTTGTTATGTGTCACATACTAATGCAATGAACTTCTGCGAATTTCACTTTATCTTTTTAACAACATAATATCAAAATAAACAGCTTAATCCTAAACAGAAAAAAATGAAGGTATCGTTTTGGGCTTCTCCTTCTTCTTCTCACTTGATAGAGTGTGTGCAACCATGTGATTTAAAATCCCTTGAGATATAAATAACAATGAAACAGCCGCCATCTCGTTGGTTGATCTTAAAAGAGAAGTTAATGAGGAATGCTTTATTATCGTCAACCGTCATAGCGGCTGTGATTTAACATGCACCCCAAGGATAGGAGGATACCAATCAAACAGCCGCCATGTTGGTTGATCTAACAAGAGAAGTTAATGAGGAATGCTTTGTTATCGTCAACTAAGATGAAGTAATAAGAAGAGATAACTAGCTAAAAACTAGTGTGAGCTTAAGATGAAGTAACATGCACATGCTGTATAATTGCGTTTTCTTCATTAACATTGAATTTGTTGTCATTCAGGTCTAAAAGGAAAGCAAGATAACCAAAGGTAAAACTTTATAAATAAAACATCATGGATAAGAAAATTATAAACATGTTTATGCTCATATATATTATTGTCTAAGTTTATAAAAATGATATATTGTTCCTCTTTTTGTTTAATTCTAGAACCAAAAAAGCGGCTGATGAGGAGATCTACTCTGTAAGTGGATGCCATTTCCTTAACACTATATATTTATTCATATTACCATTGATTTAGAGACTTCTTCTTTCTTTAAGAACGAACTTGAGATGGATAAGAAGGTGGTATCCGCCGTTACAACATCACGTCCACAGCCGCCTAGCAATACAGGACCAGAATATGAAACCATACAACAGCTAAATGAGATTGCAAGTCCTCAAGAAGAAATTCCTTCTAATCATCCCAAACATTATGAGGGACTCAATCTCCCAAATACCTCTGAACAAGGTGTCCAAAGACCAGTGTACGAGCCACTTCGAACAAAATCCGTGGAACCCAATGTGCGACTTGATGATAATAACGAGCAACAGCCATATGAACCCCTGAATATAAGAAACCAAGACTCTACTTATCAATCCCTGCAGACTAATAGCAGGGAGTCGGCCATATGACAATAATATGAGTTCAAGAATATTCAGGTTAACGTGAAATGAAAGAATTTATAAAGGGAAGTGAAGAGTGCTAGCCTTGAAACATCTGGAATCAGTAAACATACTCTTTGATTAACCTATCTATCCCTGCAGGCTAATAGCAGTGAGTCTGCCATACAGACATGAGCTGAAATATTGAAAATAATTGTAAATCAAATTACGTCTTAAAATACAACATATATAAGGATATATGTTCTTGAAATAAATAAACAACGAAAAGTTTAATACAAAGACAATCATAAACAATACATAAATGTAAGTTTTCTGTAGGCTTTTTCGAAGGATCTACCTCGGGAAACGGTCGATGTCGATTTGCGTGCGTTTTTTCAAAGTTCAAAATTCAAACGTAGTTTGAGGGTCATTTTGCTAGTTTACACGAATACACGATTCGCTGTGGATGAAACATTATAGGCATAAAGATATAAATCTAACTTCTACCAAACTCAAAACATAACTTCAGTCTCGATCTCCTGCCATTAATAACAGTCAACTCCAGTACCCTCTCTATTCCTCACTTCGACTTCCCCCCGGGCCCTACCAAACAGCACTTCCACAGGAAGCCCGTGGCAAAATATTATACGTCGCAACAGTTTCCATAAGCTAATATTTATCAGCCATTTTATAATGAACCCGTTTTTGTTGGTACTTACAGAGTCAAGTATGGAATGGCCGTTAAATTACTAGAATAAGTTTATTTTAGAGTTAAACAAACAACAATTTTGCAGTAAAGGAACTCAACGGACGAAATAAATAAACAAGTATAACAATATTTTGATTTAATTAATCTGCAAATACTATAAAAATCCAATCCTAGTTTAGTTCTTCTAGTGCCCTTGCGTTACCCACTAAAACAGACAAGCGGTGGAACGAAGTACAAAAGGTCAACCACGACAAACGTGTTCATGTGCATAATTAAATTTTGCTTAAGCAGCAAGACTTGCTGATACTGATCACCATCTGTTCTGATTTCATATAAAACAGTCCATTATATTTTTAAAGTGCTAGATTTCCGAATGTCAAATTCTTTCTCATGATGAGTGTTGGTCAAGTGCCTATCATTTCTTATTACATTCTTGGTTTCATCGGTGGATTGTATTTACTTCCTCACGTAGGTAAGTCTATTACTAAATTGTAAATTACTTATTTATGTTGATTTTATACATTCTTCAGTGATTCCTAATTTCTAAACTGAAAGAACAGCGATCAATATTTGAAGGTGTTCAATCAAAGTTTTGATGATTATTAGAATAAATCGAGTTAATCAATGAACACGGTTCGATTCTGATACGATAACATTGTAAACATTGTCGTTCAAAAAGTTCAAGGCAGTCACACTGCAATGTCACTACACTGGTAATCGACTAAAGTTGTGTCCACTGATGTTAAGTTCGGCCCGGAGGGCATATTATATCGAGACAATATAATTTAAACGAAAAACAAATTTCTTTCGAATGATTCAAATCTAAGGGACACATTTTAGTTCATTTTCATAATCAAGTAACAATATTAAATAAAAGTTGCTGTTTTGTAGACACAACAGCTCGCTTCACTCATTTCCCTCCCAGTGTGCTGTACGTATCTAGTGGAGGAACAGCCAGGTTTTTGTGGGACTACCATGTGGATGATAGAAGACTAGAGTTCCAATCGAACTCACCTGTATGGTCTTATAAGAAGGGAGGTAATGAATGGAGAACCGGTAGTGATGACAAATACACCAACAACTGGAGTTTTGTCATCAACAATAACACATGTCCAGCAAGATTACTTAACCCTGTTCGAGTAAGCAGAGAGTCCACTGCTACTCTGGTCATTACTGATGTGACTACTGCTGATAACGGGATATATAAATGTAGGCTGCAGCTAAAAGCAGGAAACCCTATTGAACACCAAGCGGAACTCTTCGTGACAGGTATATTTTTTTCAGTTTTAAACCTCTTGCACAAATTGAGCAAAACATTTAGTTCCTCAGGTTCTGTCTTTTTGCCTTAAGCCTGGATCAGCTTTAAAGGTTAAAGTAAACAAAAACCAAGTCCCCTCCAGACTCAGTAAAGACGAGTGTTTTGATTGGGATCCCTGTGGACACAGGAAATCCAATCAAAAAAATTGTGTTCACTGAGTCTGGAGGGAAAAGTGGATCTACTGTATTGGTCGCTAATTCGGCATTCAAATATCAGTGACAGAATTAAAAAGAAATTGACTTATCAAGTATGTTAATACGTTAACTATATACGAAATTGCTATCTAGAGCAATCATAATAGTGTCTCACAATACTGTTCAACGAGGATGGTTTATAGAGTGGTTTCATTAACCCGTGAAACGCGCTTTACATACATTACTTACACTGTTTTCTATTTTATTTTAGTGATTATCACACTCTAATTTGTACACTTTATTTCACGGGTAAATGAAGATCATTCTAATATATATATTTAAAAACTCATTAATAATTCATGAAGAAAACACAATAGAAATCATGACCATGAAGGAGGTTTTATATCTGATATAGATTCGTCTTCATTTGCATAAACTTTAACTTGGATTTTCTCTATCAAACTTGGTTCATTTCGTAAAGAATTCGGTACAGTATGAGAACATACATCTGGAGTATTTTAAGCCGTTTAATAAACTCGCAGATCGTGTCTTATCGGGTCTAAAACCACTCGGCTACGCCTCGTGTTTTATACCCGATAAAACACTCCTGCTCGTTTATTAAACAGTACTTAGCCGGACATGTTATACAATATTGATAGTCACATGAGGTATGCTTATCGCTCTTTTTTACTAATGTCTATTTGGAAATATGTAGGGTTAAGGCCGTATAGTTTATTCACGGCAACCAATAGATTATAGTATTTTCAAGACACATTTTCAATAGGCATTATATCGCCCTTAAAGGATCTCGTACGACTGTAACTCATCACATTTGCTACAGATATAATAAAGTGGGAAACTTACTAGCAGAAGGTCACGTGATCTTCTATTATTATTATGCCTTTACGAGTCAGCTTGATTATGATCATCATACCGTTTCAAATTAAAGTTCATTGCAAGAAAATAACGGCTCACGTGACTATAATTTGCTATCAGTAAATCAGGTCAAAAATATCTATTTTTATTATCAATTTAAATATAGGTTATAAGCAAGTATAACAAGCAAGAACGAAATATAAAAATGAACAAACTTCTTTTATAAATTTAATACTTCTATATTTCATCTTCTATGTTTCAGTACGTCCTACATTCTTACCAAGCCACCCAAACGACACATACCAAATTATCGAGGGACAGAATTTAAAAATAAACTGCACAGCTATTGGTCCACCAATACCGAACATCACGTGGGTGAATATCACAGATGGTCGTGTTGTTGTCAAGAGCCAAGGATCAGGAAGTGCTGTACTGTATATAGATAACATAAAACGATACCATGCTGGAGTATATGAGTGCCAGGCTAAGAACAACCCAAATGAGGATGCAACCATTACAAGGACAAGTGTAACAGTCTACTGTGAGTATATGGAATAATGAGAAAAAAGATGATATCATAATTTCTAGAATTTTGTAAAGTGCAAAAGTTGCAAAACTCCTGAAACTGAATATTCCTCACTTTATATATATATTTATTTTTAGTCTTATGAAATAGACACTGCATCATTCTTGTAAAAAAGCATTCAAGAATGACGGATATCGTTGCTCTATTAAAGTGTTCACGTAAAGAGCTAACCAAAAATGTTGTTTACGGCAACAGGACTGAGCACATCAATAAAATGATTCTGTAATTCGTACTCCGATGCACAGCAATGCATTAATTTGTATTAATTTGGTTAACTCTGTCCATTAACGGTCGCATTAACAAATATTCTTCACGTCAGTTCTATATTAAATTCCACAACGGAATTGATAGCTTGTCAGAAATAAAAATGTGTCGCTTTTACAATTTTGTATTTTCAATTCTCAATTTATTCTTTATGTATTTTCTTAGATAAGCCGACGATTTCAAAAGGGCTGTCTAGCAGTGATAGTGATACTTCCTGGGATGGCAGGCAGGTGACCCTCAAGTGTATTGTCAATGATGGACTACCCACACCAGATATCACGTGGTACAAGCCCAGTGGTCAGCAAATAACAACTAGTGTCACATCTATTGCTAAAAGTAGTCAAGTAGTGATAACAACGAAAGATGGGGCAGACTATGGATCGTATAAATGTAAAGCAAGAAACGTCGCTGGCAGTGTTGAACATGTTATCATTGTGACTCAGTTGTGTAAGTACGCTGTATTTAAATGAATTCGTTATAATATTAGTACGGCTCAGATCCCTTTATTTCGACCGATGTATTGATATATCCAAGGGCGGATCCAGCCAAAATTTTAGGGGGAGGGGGGGGGGGGGGGGGGTGGGGGGGGGGGGGGGGGGGGGGGAGAGGCTAATTGAGTTTAGTTTTGTTGCGATTTTTTTCCGCTGAAGCTTGATATCACTTTGATAACGAATCAATTCGGCCCTTAAGTTCCTTTGGGAAAGACTCTGCTGGATGGCAAACAAGCCGTAAAATGCCTCGTATCTTGAAATCGAAAGTATTTTATAAGGAAAAAATATATATTTGAAAAGGTTTTAGATACGACATTAGTAATCCAGCAAAAGTTATTTAAATAAAGGAAGTCCAAATTTTTTCGCCATCCAGAAACAGTCATGTGATTATTTCCTTCAAATGGCTTATTAAAGATAGTGAACCTTCCCATCGTATTAATGCACAGTAAATACCCTTCAGTCCCACCAGGTGTCCCTAATGTCACGATACTAGACCAGGATATCCGAGCATCATCAGTGACTGTAAGGTGGACCAAACCTGGTTATGATGGTGGAAGTCCTGTTGTTGATTACAAAGTGCAAATCAACACAAACCCACCACAAGAACAGAACACATCAAACACTGAGCACGAGTTGACTGGTCTGACTAAGAATACAAGGTATGAAGTCAGAGTCTACGCAAGGAATGTGGTTGGTTATGGAAATGCATCGATCGTCAGCTTTACCACAAAGAAAAGAGGTAAGAATAAATACAATTAAGTTACACAATTTCTTGACCAAGATTACAAGAGTTTGGAGGCATTATTTAACTCATACACTTCGACCTTATCCCTTAGACAGTTCTTGCGTCTAGTTCACACACTGAACAGTAGAACTGACTGACATCTATAGGATTTTGTAATACGTCATAAATTGCTTTCATAATAGAGTGTAAACCGTATATCCTTTAAATACCACAAAAACTTAATAGCACTAAAAACATCTATTTCTTTTGTTTTCAATTGTTTCATTGGTGCTATTTTGTACTAGAGCAGTTTGTGAAAAATCAGTGTCGTATACGAGCCTTGACGTGACCGCGATGTTTTCTAGAATTTTGATTTGGGGATTTTTATCGCGCGCAATGTGATCGGTCTGTCCATGCCGTGACCTTGGCGTTACCGTGTCCCCGCCGTGTTCATGCCATGTATCGGGCATTTAGCATTCATTACTTCCAAAGTATATTTAGACAGCCAGTAAGCTTATTTGCTTGGGTTTTGGTGCTTTGCAAATCAACAGAAACAAACAGATACTTTTCAAGGGTAGCGATTTCATTTTTTACGATATTTGGCCCAAAAAATTCAATGCACATGGATGCTTTCACACGTTCTCAGATAACTCATGCGAGGAATGAATTGATCCCGATCAATTCTAAAAAGTGTCTTAAATGAGAGACTAGCAGGAAATATAAAAGAAATTAGTGTATTAAGTAGGAAATCAAGCAAGACAAGTCTCCTTTTTGGAAAAGCACATATTCTTCGTTTGCAATAGACGTCATAGCCGCCATGTTGAAAGAATTTGACAAAATATTTTGCAATGAATTATTTTGTTATATCTTCCAACATGGCGGGCATCCCTTTTGTTATTGTGCTCTCTTGGGATTGATTGCAAACCAAGAATATAATCCAAGATGGCCGGCGCCAAAGTCTGCTGCGCATGTCACACATACAATACATAAATTAACATAATTAACTCAAGTGTATCGCAGAAATGCCACAAATTCCACCAAGAAAAAGACACGGCCGATACTTTTGAGAAGGGTCGTCCATTGCATTGTCTCGTTTATACGTAAGGGTCGAAATGTAAACTTTTGACGGCATTTCTGTAAATTCTTTAAGTTGATTCTGGACCACGGTTTTCCTTTTGCATTCAAACAGTAATTCACATTCTTTGACGTATTACTTAAGCTAAGGTTTCTTACCGGCAATGTCCATATGGCATTCAATAAGAAGACAAATGGACATACTCACTTACTTCATTCTTGAACTGGTTGTTTTTCACCTTCGCTCTTACATCTATAGTCAAACTATAATTCGAAATAAATATATATCTATGTTAAAATTGTATCAGACTTTTTACATTATTGAATAGTGCACTTACAATTCAAGTCCTGAAGTTATACTGAACTTGAGAGAAACCTTACGCCCTTGCGTCTCTTCAGTCATGTTTGACAACTGACTATGTAAATCTTATTTTAATTTCTATTATTCCAAAGCTTACAAAATATGTCGTATCATTACTGCTATTCAAAGTTCATATTTCCCGCGTGAGGAGCGATCAAAGTGACAAACAAATTTATTCATAATCGGTCTCGTGGGTGTGATCATATTCTAAGCTAATGAACGCTAGTGTCCTATGGGATCCCTCTCGGGCTCCGTCATTATGGCTCTCTATCTATAGACCCCTTGCAGCACTTTGGAATGCAGCTCAATCTGAGGAAGAAAAAAATAGGTTCTAATTCTCAGAAGATTGGAATTCTTTTGTATTAGTCCCCCAGATTGAGATGCTTTCATGTCACATGCAAGGGGTCTGTTGCACGGGACTCTGTATCCGACAGAACACTTGCGTTTATTATATAATCCTTACGTAGAAAGTCAGGTATTTTGTGCTTTCATCATTAGGTCCACCACCTTTGCCCAGTCTTCATCTTAGCAAGAGTAAAGCTACTATAACATTGTATTGGACAAAACCTGATGAAAATGGCGGTGAAATCAAGAGTTATACCATCTACCAGAAACAGGGTGTACAAAAACCCTGGACAAGTATACATGTCGTACGTGACTTGTCCAACTTGGCGTATGTCATACACGTGAAGGATCTGGAGCCTGGTCAGACATACTGGTTTATTGTCACGGCATCGAACGAGTTTGGAGAAAGTGAAAAAGGAGATGAAAAGGGTCAGGAAGCGTATTTTTTGCCGAACCCGGTTACCACAGCAACCCAGGCAACTACTACAGGTATTGGTAAGTGAGGTATTGACATAGGGTGGATTTTTCTTTTTTTTATATTTGATTAATTGAAATAATGAGAACACGTACATTGAACTTAGAAATCGAAAGACTGGGAAAGATGCTTCTTACAGCATACAACAAGCTACTACAAGAAATTAGTCCAACTAATAGCGGTCTATCATCAATGCTGCGTTCCGATTGGATGAGCTACTACTATTCTATAAGTTATATTCTACTCTTAGCGAAAAGTGCCGGCTAAAACAACTAGTCCTCTTGCGCTCATGGCCTATGAGTCAATAGCCCATTTGGGCTTGAGCACTAATTGCTAATGAGTTAAACGAAACATTGGTAAATACAAAGTGTAGTACTTAATGCTTTGTGATAATTTGATTTAGTATAAATACACAGGTGATTATTGAAAATCTCGCGCGCTGATTGATCGAGAAACCCACACTATCACACGATAATCACCTCCAGCGATAATCTAGCCTGCGTGTTCTGGCTCTTCGCTCGCTTTTCGAAAGCGAGCGAAGAGCCTGACCACGCAGGCTAGCGATAATCCAAAATGGCGGCCAGCCGCTTTGTTGCTGTTACCGGGAAAAAATTTTTTTCTTTTTTTCTGTTTTTGCAAAGAATCACCTGTGTATTTAACAATTATTTGCCTCAGCCTCAGTGAATATCGGAGAATATTTACCTCGTCGCTCAAAGACTCGCGTCTGGGTAAATATTCCCCGATAATCACTTCGCCTTCGGTGAATAATTGTTAAATAATTGCATTCATTAACATCATAACACTAGTTATCAATTATAACTCGATGTGTAAACAAATCGTCATTTTTACTAATAATTAGCAGTTTAAATGTATGAATTTAAAAAAGTACTACAAGGATATTTTAAAAAAATCCATGTGTTAATACGTTTATTTATGATATTTATTTTAAATTAATTAACAGGCGGGCAATCGATGAATAAATCAGACGAGCAAGAAAAATGCAGTAAGTAAAATTATTTTTCCTAAAACAAATTCATTAAAGGGACGATTTCTTTACACTCAAGACAAAAAAGAATTGACAATTTTTGATGTATTGTTTAAGATTTTCTTTGTTTTGTATCTAGCACCCTTATTATTTTTGGATCCTCTTTGCCTTACCCTAATTTTTTTTTCTTTGCCGGGTGACAACGTTGTATACGTTTTATGCTAATAGATTATTAATTCATGTAAAGCATTTTTCTTTTTTACTCAAGGCTCCACTGCATTAGCTGTCTGTGCATCTTTCCTAGCGGTGTCTTTGGTAGTTATCGTCCTCTTGCTTCTTTACATATGGAGGAACATTAAAAGGACAGGTATATTCTAGATCTTTTTCTTCTTTTATGATTATCCTTGCTTATATAAGTATAGCAATCTCTGTTTATTTGTTAGTTGCTCTATCAAACGAAATTATTAAACATGAAAATGCAGTTAGATCGTATCATTTAACAATAACTTAGACAGAAATTCTAACACTCTTTTTTCGTTTCCTTTGCATATAATGTCTCTTGAAAAGAGCAAACCGAAAATACCAATACAAAAAGGTGATTAGTTGAATTTAACTACATTGTTATCTATGTCAGTAATATGCCTCTGATTCTCCATTTTCCATACATCGGTTCACTGGTCAAACACAAAGCATACATTCAGTCGAGGTTGCAAGGTTCAAATTCGAATAATCCTTTGAAAGTACCTTGGCGCCTCGCTTGAGCGCTTTGTGTTTGACCAGTGAACCGATGTATGGAAAATGGTGAATATAACGTTTTCCCATCACAGACCACGTATCATTCCCTAGAATATCATTTCTTTGTTTAATGGTTGCACATGAGATGACAAATGAATATGAATACAACACAAACAAAGAATCTTATCAGTTCTCAAGGGAATGACAAGTGACATTAAGTTGGCAAAACATTTCGCCCAAGGGAATTTTGTCCATTACAAAATGTTCTATTGCTGGTTTTCAATCATCCCCATAAGAGTGAAACAACAAAAGACACGGCGGCCATGTTGGATGATACAAAAATAAATAATTGACAATTGTTTGGTTAAACTCAACATAAATGGCGGCTATGACGTCATGTTTAAACGAATAATTGATCCTTTCATTTTTCTTCATTAATTTTTAAATTTCAAGAGTCACCAGAAACAAATCAGTTGAAGATCCAGTTTATGACGTAAGTGTTTGTTGATAATCATCATAGTTTACCTTTTTCAACCATCAATGCTAATCATAAAAGAATCCATTGAATTGATTCTAATACTAAAAAGCGTACTTCAAGTGCAAATCATTAGTTCCAGACAAACCAAATATTGGTGCTTTGTCATCACTCAACAATAATCGATGCTAAAGGCCCTGTTGCACTTTGCAATTTTCCAGCAACTCGCAACGGCGTTAGCCTTGTCTCGTTATGCAAGTTGCTGCAGAATTGCACAATGTAAAAGGGTTGTCTCGAAGTTGTATTGTTTCGCGTAGCGTTACAAGAAGTAGAATTCAGCCTACTTTTCGCAACGGATTGCAGCAATTGCCAACGCTATTGCAAAGTGTATCATCGCTCCAACAACTTTTTCTCGCAATTTTAAAGCATATTTTTCAAGAGCGCATGCGAACATTTCTGATTTCTTTCCAAAGAGCCACAAATGTTGCAAGTTGCTAAGATCGAGTAGTAATGTAACACCTTACCTCGGCGACTTGTAACTACATTTTTAAGCATGCGAGACAAGCTGCGCTGCTGAGAAAATGGCACAGTATAATTATAACAGGTCGGACTGTTTCTTCTCACTGAATGAATTCGCAAAAAATTTTTTTTTTTTTTCACAGAACACCCTAGAAATGGAAGAAAACAAAGCTTCACACATTTCGGTATCTCAAAATTTTCAACAGACCTCCCCACTTGCAGAATACGAGCCCATAAGAATGCATTGTGATAATCATCCAATAGAAATGTCCAGAGTAGATGGCTACAGCAGCCCCTCCACAAAAGCGCCGAGTCATTATCAAGCACTCGCGCATTCTGATGCAGCTGGTTCATCGCATCAAGGTCAAGGTCCAACTTACGAATCCCTTCACCGTCCACAGTTCAAACAACCTGATGCTCAGCTTGCCAAGAACGTACCAGACACTACGTACCAGCCACTTGGTGTCAGGCAAAACCCTACAGATTACCAAGACCTGAAGACCTATAATAATATGCATCAGCTAGGAAACAACAGGAATGACCAGTCTATTATATAGACATACTACTGTATTGCAGTATTGAAGCATTAATTATAATACATAAGCACCTAATCGAACTTTTACTTCCTCCACCGGCCCCGACAGTCCCCTTTTTCAATTCCCCTGTATCATTATATGATAAGACATGTGTCTTTCAATAAAGCTCAATAAAGAATATTAATGAGGATGACTTTATCAGAGTCTTATGTTGCACCAAAGTTTAGATGAAGACTTAGAGCCTCATGAAGGTCAGCGTCAAACCTCACTGCACATGACATCGATGTACACACTTCAATGACTGTATAAAGATTCGTGATAGTCATGGCCGCTGTAATAGAAGTTTTGCACCATCACGTGACGGCAGTCATATTAGATGACAGGAACAATATAATACTAACGACAGGCAGTCCAAGCTGAATGATGGACGTGGACACGTGATGGTGCAAAACCTCTATAGCGTTTTCCACAGATGACGTCACAACATTACATCATGGGATCGACATTTGGACAAGCCAAGCGCACATTTGACATGCAGCCGATAATATTTTGTAGTCTTGTTGTTTTCAAATGATGGAAGAGCTATGAAGGCATTTATGCTTATTTGTTGTTCCTTGTAATTCAAATATCGGCTTCTATGTGAAAACGAACTTGCAATCATTTCTATAAGAGCAATGGGGAAAACAATGACGGATTTTTTAAATTTAAGTTATCTGTGCCAGTAAGGTTTTGTATATTAAATGATTACTCCTCAAACGTCACAGCATTAACATATGGCATGGAAAAACCTTTAAAACTTCAAGAAGCTGCACTTAAACTATACAATTTTTAGTGCTATTCAACATCTTACCCCATGTAGAATCAATACTGTAAATATTGTCAGAAGGGTGATAGGCACTTTAATGACATAGAATAAACAATTGATGGGCTGCAGTTAAAAGACAAAAACATGGCGGCCATTGTGGTACCGTTAACAATGGATGCTAATGAGAAATCTTTTGTTAAATGGTACCAACATGACCGCGATGACGTAACGTGCAAACGAAGAATAATTAAGATTGAACGTAACATTTATCCTTACTTTCTCTGCTCCTTTAGCTCAGCGTACATGTTTTATTTTATCTCATATTACTATTTTCTAGCTTTTGCAGAGTTCTTCGTTTGCATCTCAAACATATGCCACATTTCTGCAATCACTTTTTAATTTTCACACAAAAACAAGTATTTTTTACATCTATTCAGGCAAACGAACCGACATTTTAAGGCTCTATTCTTTCTCAGTGACTTTGCTCGTTGAGTAAGTCAGAGCTTCGTCGCTTCGTCATAGAGATCTTCCGGTAGTGGTTGCTTAGTTACGATTTCTTTGTCATCTTTGTCTTCTTGTTTAACGCTGACATAGACATTGATCCTCAGATGGTAATTCGGGTAATGGGCTTGAGAATACTCAGGTCACAATAATCATTCAACGGCCTTATATATGTACAGAAATATTGAAAATAAGTACCATAAGCAGCAGTAAGGGGGACTCGCGGTCAATGTCAAAGATTTACGGGTTTTACAGGCGGTTTAAGGAAGGCGCCGGCAGCGGGAATAAGCCGCGCGATAAGTCCTTACTGCTGCTAGTTGTCGAACCGCAAACGGAGGTTAAAATATTCCTTAGATATAGATGGACACCATCACGAGCATTCGTAACAAAACTGTGCGCCGACTGAG